GGTCTCTCTCCGCTGTGTGTCCTTGTATGTGTAGTGAGGGCTGAGTGCTGCGTAAAGGCTTTCCCACATTCCTTACATTCATAAGGTCTCTCTCCACTGTGAGTTCTTTTATGATTAGTGAGCAGTGAGGAACGAGTAAAGAGTTTCCCACATTCTTTACATTCATAAGGTTTCTCTCCACTGTGAGTTCTTCTATGCATAGTTAGGTTTGAGGCTCGCCTAAAGGTTTTCCCACATTCCTTACATTTATAAGGTCTCTCTCCACTGTGAGTTCTTATATGATTAGTGAGGTGTGAGTCTTGCCTAAAGGCTTTCCCACATTCCTTACATTCATAGGGCCTCTCTCCAGTGTGAGTTCTTTTATGTGTAGTGAGAACTCTGGAATCACTAAAGGCTTTCCCACATTCTTTACATTCATAGGGCCTCTCTCCAGTGTGAGTTCTTATATGTTTAACGAGGGCTGAGCAATCACTAAAGGCTTTCCCACATTGCTGACATTCGTAACGCCTTTCTCCACTGTGTGTTCTTACATGTTTAGTGAGGTATGTGGCTCGCCTAAAGACTTCCTCACATTCTGTACATTCGTCAGACCCCTCTCCACTGTGAGTTCTTACATGTTTAGTGAGATGTGAGACTTGCATAAAGGCTTTTCCGCATTCTTTACATTCATAAGACCTGTCTCTACAATGAGTTCTCATATGTGTAGAGAGGTTTGAGGAATCACTAAAGACTTTCCCACATTCCTTACATTCACAGGGCCTCTCTCCAATGTGAGTTCTTATATGTGTAGTCAGGTGTGAGGAACAAGTAAAGGCTTTCCCACATTCCTTACATTCATAAGGCCTCTGCCCATTGTGTGTTCTTATATGTGTAGTGAGGTGTGATGACCGACTAAAGGCTTTTCCACATTGTTTACATTCATAAGGCCTCTCTCCACTGTGTGTTCTTGTATGTGTAGTGAGGGACGATGCCTTACTAAAGGCTTTTCCACATTCCTTACATTGATAAGGCATACCTGTGTTATGAAATTTTTTATGTAAAATGAAGGATGAAGGACGACTGTAGGTTTTACAATATTCTTTACGCTCACGCTTATGATCTCTCACATGTGTACAAAAGGATGAGAAAGTACAAAAATGTTTCTTACATTCATTACATTCATAGCGTTTCTCACCAGTGACTGATGTCACAGAATTCTTAAGGGTTGAGAAACAAATGAAGTCTTTCCCATATGACTTACATTTATGGGGTTTCTTTCCATTATGAGTTCTCATAGGAGTGGTAAGGTGAGAGGGACAGCTGCAGGCTTCTCCACATTCCTTACACTGACGGGCATTGCATCCAGTGTGAGATCTTGTGTGATGCTTATATGATGAGTGATCCACGAAAGCTTTTCCACACTCTGAGCATGCAAAAAGATTTACTTCTGGAGAATTTCTTTTTAGCACAGTAAGATTTGGAATCCGGCTGAAGGTTTTCCCACACTGATTGCCTTCATTACTTTCACAGAGGTTCTCTACTACACGACTTCTGTTAAAAATAGGCAATAAATATATTTGTTCCTATTTCAGGATTACCAAACAGTAAATGTACGTGGTTTTTGCTGATTTGTGTCATGTTTCCTAGGTTAAATCACCTAGAGATATACTACCATTACTGTCATTGTTTCTCCAAAATACGGGGCTATCTGATAATTGTGTCAAGTGAAGTGTTTCAAACATTCTATACCTAATGCATTAATGAAAATGTTGTATTGTGAAAATTCTCTGAACACGTAATTTTACAGCTAGGTTTATATATGTTTTTGGTAGTTGCCCTTGAGTTGGTTCCAACTCATAGCAACCGCAGGTAATATGAAACGTTTGCCTGGTCCTGTGCCATTCTCACAGTAATTGATATGTTTAATTCTACTGTTGCACCCAATGTGTCAATCCATCTCATTGATGGTACTCCTCTTTTTAACTGACATTTTTAACTGACATTAACTGACATTTAACTTGACCAAGCGTTATATGTATGAACATACAGATGTATATATATACATAACTGTACAAGGTTTTGACATGTTAGGACTTTCTCCTGAGGCACTCTTTTAAGAATGACACTCACCTCAAATGTCTCCTCTGGTTTTTCTGCTGGTGTTTATTCCCATGCAATTCAGAGATTTCTCCTAACACGGAGGACCAGGTGTTATTCTTCATGAATCGTACCATTATATGTTCACTAGATAACTTTTCTCCTTCATTAAGGTTTTGAGAGACTGACTCAATAATTCAAGTTGAGGTTCATAATATGAAACAAAAAAGGAAGGCATTATTAGGGAAAAAAGGCTGCTACGAATAAAGAAACACTTAGCCACATTTCACTGTTTCAGCACTTTAGCAAGGGTTAAAAAGCAATTTACTAGGAAATACACCCATGAGGACTGAGGGTGATGGTGACATAAATTGGTAACAAGAGCTAAGTAAAAAAATACTGAATACAATACACATGTAACATTGAAAGAAGAAAAGGTTCTCCATGACCACAGGTGTAAGAGGATTACAAAAGTCAGAAAAGCAAGCTCAGGTATCTGTGAAGTTGTGTCCTCAACCCAAAAAAGACTTTTTCTAGCTGACTGATTCAAATGTAATTCCCTATCTCCACTGTCCTTGCTCCTCCAGTAAAACAAATAGGTATAACTGACATGGTTCGCATGGAGAAATGCATATCAGGAGGGAACACAGTGCAGAGTAATGAAAGTTTCCCTGACACTGAGCCAATACATTGCTTTTCAGAGTCTCTGAAGATGGACAAGTGTGGGTTTATTTGCAGCAAAATAATCATTTCAAACTTGCAATAAACACAGTAAAACTTTCTACAAGGTCCCAAAACACAAACCTCTCAGTGCTCCAAAGTGACCCCTGAAGCCAATGCTTATACTTACAGCATTTAGGATCTCAGCAATTTTAATCACAACAGAAATGAAAACTATAATACATAGAGATTTATGTACACGGGAAAGCCAGTTTATGTGAGCTCCACAGATGAATGGACTATGTTTGTTTTATTTGACAATTTATTCCCATTCTTTAGCCCAAATACTGGAGCCAAGCCGATAAGTAAAACATTTTTATACACTAAAGAAATAAATAAATTTAAAAAAATGATACCATTCTTACCTATTGAGGCCAGGTTTCTGAAGGTTTCCATCATCACATCTCTGTAGAGTTTCCTCTGAGCAAGATCCAGCAAAGCCCATTCTTCCTGGCTAAAAACCACGGCAACATCCTCCAATACCACTGAGTCCTAAAACATCACACATTCAGCATCAGAAGTTATCATGTACTCCAAGGCGTACAAGAACGAAGCGTGAGGCTGACAGTCCTGGGGAACTGAATTCATAGAAATTTGACACCAGGTTCTGTGTTCCACCAAGGTCTATTCTAGGGTACAGCCATCAGCCTTGTCGCTTCGCTAACTGCATTCACTACCTCACTGATTGCTGTCTCACAGACTTAAAACACCATGAAATAATCCCTCCACAGTGTGGCTGTGACAAATTGCTGTCTTACTCTTTATGGTTTCGAACAGTTAGAAAACATAGCAAAAATTAGAGAAATGCTCTACTTCAGATCACCACTTCCTTGTGAACAAAAAATTACACCTTCAGTAAGACCCACCGGAACACTCAAGAAAACATAAAGCCCAAGCAGAAGGTAGGATGAGGTATTAACAACTGGGAAACACTGCAGAATGGCAGTGTTTCTTTTTGCTCCTTGTAGCCATGGGAGGACCAGGGGCTCACATAAACAAACTGGCAAACTGAGGCCCTGAGCTGGTCATAATTTCTTGAACTCTAGGAGATCAGAAGGTGACAGGTCCACCTGCTGACAAAAGATTATTCTTTTGCAGAATTACGAATTTTTACATATCAGTCACCTATTTTCCAAAAACTCAGTTATTCTATCATCCTCTCTGTCTTTTACAGAGACAGGCAAAGGTTAAAAAGAGCTCAGATAAGAGACAGGAAAGATGAGAATCCAGATCTCACTACAATTCTCATATTTTGAGACCTGATACAACTGTACACCAATTATTAGTGACTGCTCCCATCCACAAACATAAACCCATGAACTCACACAAACACATTCTAATGTTACAAGATGATGAAGAGGACCATCTCTGCAAAAACAAGAATAGAATGCCCTTATGTTTACTGACTGAGAAGAGATTATGATTCACATTTCCTAATGACTGCACATGATGAACATAATGTCACAATGTTATACATATAAACATTAAACTAGAAAACGTTTCATTATATATATTTTTTACCACAAAAAATTAGTTTTGTAAGTTGAAGTGCAGACAATTTACCTGTTAAATTGTGCAGCCTAAGATAAACAAACCTACACACCAGCCCTCTAGAGGCTCCATTCCAAAAATTCTCTCACATTTACATGACCTAAAAGGCACACAACCATGACTACCTGAACCCTGACCAATGGAATTCCCTAGTTTGGAAGAGTGATCTATGAAATAGCACCAATCCATTGGATTCCTCCACCACTAGCCTGTCAGTTTGTTGTACTGTGGTGGATTGCATGTTGCTGTGAGATGCTGGAAGTTATGCCACTGGTATTTCAAATACCAGCAGGGTCACCCATGGTGGACAGGTTTCAGTGAAGTTTCCAGGCTAAGACTAGGAAAAAGGACCTGGTAATCTACTTCTAAAAAAATTGGCCAATGAAAATGTGAATAGCAACAGAGCACTGTCTGATATAGTGCCAGAAGAGGAGCTCCTCAGGTTGGAAAGGACTCAAAATATGACTAGGGAAGAGCTGTCTACTCCAAGCAGAGTCGACCTTAATGACGTAGCATACAGCTTTCAGGACCTTCATTTGCTGATGCAATATAACTCAAAATGTGAAGAAACAGGTACAAACATCTGTTAATAATAAGAATGTGGAACGTATGAAGTATGAATCTAGGAAAATTGGAAGTCATCAAAAATGAAATGAAATGCATAAAGATTGATATCCTAGGCATTAAGTGAGCTAAAATGGACTGGTATTGGACATTTTGAATTGGGCAATCATATGGTCTATTATGCTGGGAATGAGAAGTTGAAGAAGGGCGCTGCATTCATTGTAAAAAAAAACATTTCAAGATCTGTCCTCAAGTACAATGCCATCAGTGATAGGACAATATCCATACGCGTACAAGGAAGTCTCATTAATACAACTATTATTCAAATTTATGCAACAACCACTAATGCCAAAGATGAGGAAATTGAAGATTTTTACCAAATTCTGCACTCTGAAATTGATCAAAGATGCAATCAAGATGCGTTGATAACTACTGGTGATTGGAATATGAAAGTTGGAAACAAAAAAGAAGGAATAGTAGTTGGAAAATATGGTCTTGGTAACAGAGACAATGTTGGAGATTGCATGATAGAATTTTGCAAGACTAACAGCTTCTTCATTGCAAATACCTTTTTTCACCAACATAAACGGAAACTATACACGTGGACCTCACCAGATGGAAAAGCTCAATATCACCAGTCAGAACAAGGCCAAGGACCGACTGTGGAACTGACCATCAATTGCTCACATGCAAGTTCAATTTGAGAAGCTGAAGAAAATTAGAACAAGTGTACAAGAACCAAAGGATAATCTTGAGTATATTCCACCTGAATTTAGAGAACACCTCAAGAATAGATTTGACTCATTAAACACTAATGACCAAAGACCAGACGAGTTGTGGAATGACATCAAGGACATCACATGTGAAGAAAGCAAGAGGTCACTAAAAGATAGGAAAGAAAGAAAAGACCAAATTGGATGTCAGAAGAGATTCTGAAACTTGCTCTTGAATGTGGAGTAGCTAAAGCAAAAGGAAGAAATGAGATAAAAGAGCAGAACAGAAGATTTCAAAGGGTGCCTGGAGAAGGTGAAATAGAGTATTAAAATGAAATGCACGAAGACTGAGAGTTAGAAAACCTAATGGGATGAACATGCTCAGCATTTCTCAAGCTGAAAAAAACTGATGAGAAAATTCAAGTTGCAATATTGAAGGATTCTATGGTGAAAACAATATTAAATGACACAGGAAGCATCAAAAGAAGATAGAAGGGATACATAGAATCACTGTACAAAAAAGAATTGGTTGGATCTTTCCACTCTTGACTCCTATTCAACATTTTACTTGAAGTCATAGGTAAAGCAAAAACAGGAAAGAAAAGTAAACAAACTGTTAAGGAGGAAATAAGGAGCCACGGTAGCAAGGTGGTTAAAAAGCTCTCCTGCTAACCAAAACGTTGGCTGTTTGAACCCATCAGCAGTTCTGTGGAAGAAAAGACCTGGCAATCTGCTCCAGTAAAGATTACAGCCTGGGAAATCCTATGGGGGCAGTTCTACTCTGCACTCGAGGGGTCGCTATGAGTCAAAATTGACTTGATGGCAGACAGTAACAACAACAGACAAAATAACCTGTCTTTGCAGATGAAATGACTGTCTATATAGAAAATCCCAAAGAATAAAGAAAAACATTTATGAAACTAATAGTCAATCATACCAAAGTGGCAGGATAAAAGCTTAATATACAAAAGTCAATTGCTTTCCTATATGCCAATAAAGAACATTTGTAATTTGAAATTAAAAACACAATAGCATTTACATTAATAACAAAAATAGAATGGTAGAAATCTAACAAAATATGTAAAAGATATATACAAGGAAAACAACAAAACTCTGATGAAAGAATTCAAAGATCTAAATAAAAGAAGAGTTATTCCATGTTCATGCATGGGAAAACTCAGTATTGTTAAGATGTCAATTTTTCCCAAATTGATTGCATTCAATGCAACCCCAATAAAAATCCCAGCAAGTCATTCTGTGACTATCAACAAACTTTTTACAACATTTACGTGAAAAGAACAAAGGCTTAGAAGAGCCAACACAATATTGAAGAAAAACAAAGTTGGAAGACTGACACTACACCACCTCAAGACTTACTCTGAACTTACAGTAATGAAGACAGTGTGGAATTGGCAAAAGAAGAGATCAATGGAAAAGGAGAGAGCCCAGAAATAGACACAAATAAAATCATCTGATCTTTGAGTGAGCACCAGAGGCAATACAATAGAGAACGGAGAGGCTTTTCAATAAATGGTGCTGGAACATCTATATAGCCACTAACAAAAAAAGGAAATCTAGATAGAAATCTTACACCTTTTATAAACATTAACTCAAAGTGGATCAAAAACCTAAATGTCAATGCAAAGCTATAAAACTTCAGGAAGACAACACAGGAGAAAACCTGCTTGGGTTTGCTGATGATTTTTTAGATACAACACTAAAAGCACAATCTGCGATGGAAAAAAATGGATAAATTTGACTTTGTTAAAATTAAACACTTTACAAATGTTTTTTTATCTACCAATTCACTATAATAAAATGGTTAAAAAAAAACTTCTGCTCTGCAACAGACACTGTTAAAAGAATGAAAAAACAAGCCAAAAACTAGGAGAAAATCCTTCATAATACATGTGATAAAAGATTGGTATTCAAAATAAAAGGTCCCTGGTTAGGGCAAATGGTTCATTCTTAGCTGCTAATGTAAAGGTCTGCAGTTCGTACTCACCCAGCGATGCCACAAAATAAAGGCCTGGTGATCTGCTTCCCCAAAGATTACAGTCAAGAAAACCCTATGGATCGGTTGTACTGTGTAATACATGGGGTCGGCATTAATCGGAATTGACTTGGAAGCAATGAGTTTGGTTGCTTATTTTTTTATTCAAAATACGGAAAGAACTCTTAAAACTCAACACTAAGAAAGCAAAAAACCCAATAAGAAAATGAGCAAAAGAACTGAATAGGTGACAAATAGGCATATGCAAAGATGGTCAACATCATGTATCGTTAAGAAATTGCAAATTATAACAATAATAAGATACCACTTGTCTTAGGCTAGGTTCTCTAGAAAAGCAAAACCAGTAAAGGGTATAAATACATAGAAATTTATATCAAGGAAATGGCTCACATAGTTGTAGAGGCTGGAACATCCCAAGTCCGTGGCTCAGAATAGAGGCTTCTCCTGATGCACGTGGCTACTGGGGCTGGGGAACCCAAGATCTGCAGGTTGGAGAGCAGGGCTCTTGTTCACAGGCTGTGAAGATTGACGAATCCCAAAGATCAGCAGGCAAGATCGCAGGTAAGCTGCTAGCTCAAGTCCCAAGAACTGGAGATCAGATGAACAGGAGCCAGCAGCAGAATCCAGAATGAAAAAAAAACCACAGGCCTTGCCACATTCCCAGGGAAACTCCCTTTCAACTGACTAGCTACTCACAGCAGATCCCATCATGGAGGTGATCACATAATATCTTATCACGGAAGTGACCACACCATCACACGACTATCTAACCGCTGACAATCATGGCCCAGCCAAGTTGACACACAACCTTAACCATCATACCATTACATATTGATTCCTGAAATGATTGAATGTCAACTAATTCTTTTTGGTACAGTAAATCTGTGTATTCCTATTTTGCGCTTAGGATCCTTCAATATTGCAACTCGAGGCTTGAATTTTTTTCTTCAGTTCTTTCAGCTTGAGAAATGCCAAGCGTGTTCTTCCTTTTGGTGTTCTAACTCCACAGGTCTTTGCACATGTCATTATAATACTTTGTCTTCTTGATCTGCCCTTTGAAATCTTCTCAGCTCTTTTACTTCATCATTTCTTCCTTTTGCTTTAGCTACTTGATGTTCAAGAGCAAGTTTCAGAGTTTTTGACATCCATTTTGGTCTTTTCTTTCTTTCCTGTCTCTTTAATGACCTCTTGCTTTCTTCATCTATGATGTCCTTGATGCCATTCCACAACTCATCTTGTCTTTGGTCTTTAGTGTTCAACATGTCAAATCTAGTCTTGAGATGATCTCTAAATACAGATGGGATATACTCAAGGCGGTACTTCGGCTCTCGTGGACTTGTTCTAATTTTCTTCAGCTTCAACTTGAATGAGCAACTGATAGTCTGTTCCGCAGTTGGCCTCTGGCCTTGCTCTGAGTGGTGATGTTGAGCTTTTCCATCGTCTCTTTCCACAGATGTAGTCCATTTGATTCTTGTGTATTCCATCTGGTGACGTCCAAGTGTATAGCTGCCATTTATGTTGTTAGAAAAGGTATTTGCAATGAAGTCCCTGGTCTTGCAAAATTCTATCATGCGATCTCCCACATCATTTCTATCACAAGGCCATATTTTCCAACTACGGATCCTTCTTCTTTGTTTCCAACTTTTGCATTCCAATCACCAGTAATTATCAATGCATCCTGACTGCATGTTTGATCAATTTCAGACTGGAGAAATTGGTAAACATCTTCAATTTCTCCATCTTTGGCCTTAGTGGTTGGTGGGTAAATTTGAATAATAGTTGCATTAACTGGTTTTCTTTGTAGGCATATGGATATTATCCTACCACTGACAACACTGTACTTCAGGATAGATCTTGAGATGTTCTTTTTGACAATGAATGCAACGCCATTCCTCCTCAAGCTGTCATTCCCAGCATAGTAGACCATATGATCGTCTGACTCAAAATGGCCAATACCAGTCCATTTCAGCTCACTAATGCCTAGGGTATGCACGTTTATGCATTCCATTAGTAATGAAGTAGTGTAAGGTAATTACAGAATAAAATCAAAGTAAGATACCATTTCGCACTCTTTATAAGAGCAAAAATCAGGTAAGCAAATGGACAAATAAAATGCACATGCCTACTTTGTGGGAGGAAAAAGTTGCAAAATGCATAAGTATTTCCGAGTAAATCTGAACTTGGCTATGGTCTACAACACAACCATATTCCCTCACTGCAGACTTATTGTGCAAGAACACATGGAGCTTGGAAAGAGAATGAACTTAAGAGCAGCAATACTCACAAGAGCAAAAATGACACTTGAGCCACCCAACTCCTGAAGCTCTACAGTAGCTAGGTAGATCGTGGCCCATTCATACCATGGAAACGTACATACACAGGCACATGGGTGGACTAGAGCTAGAGCTACAGACACCAACACATATGAAATTCAACAGCATCCTGAGGAAACAAGTCACTGAAGAAGCCAGAGTAATAACTGAATTTACAGAATGCTCAAGAGGCCAAACGAAACAATATACAGTATATGGGTTAAGACTTGGGTGATATGGAGCCCTGGTGGCACAGTGGTTAAGAGCTATGGCGGGCTATGGCTGCTAACCGAAAGACTTGGATGTTAAAGCTATGATAATAGCAATGATATTGGTAATAGTCATAAACTTCGTAATACAGATAGTAACAATCTCCAGGCAGGAGGAGATGACATGAGGGTGGGGCACACTGGGAGGCCATAAAAACTGACCAAGGTCTATTTTTCAGCTACTCAGATTACTAGATAAATTATACAGAAGTTTATGAAGTCCTTGTTTATGACAGAGTTGACAATAGAAAGTTTAAAGTTTCATTTAAAACACAAAACAAATGTAGTTTTCATAAAATAATTATACGATGTAAAAACCCCTTCTTTTTGATTTCATCTATCTTAGTTTAGAAGGGCTTTATTACCTAAACTATTGACACCCGCATCTTGCTGTTGTTGTTATGTGCTGTAGAGTCGGTTCCGACTCATAGCGACCCTACGTATAACAGAACAAAACACTGCCTGGTCCTGCGCCATCCTCACAAACCTTGTTATGCTTTAGCCCACCTTTGCAGCCACTGTCAATCCATCTTGCTGAGGATCTTCCTTTTTTTTGCTGACCCTCTACTCTACCAACTGTGATGTCTTTCTCCACGTACTGATCCCTCCTGATAACACGTCCAAAGTATGTGAGACATTGTCTCACCATCCTTACTTTTAAGGAGGATTCTGGCTGTACTTCTTCCAAGACAGATTTGTTCATTCTTTTGGCAGTCAATGGTATAGTCAATATTCTTCACCAACACCATAATTCAAAGGCATTAATTCTTCAGTCTTCCTTATTCATTGTCCAGCTTTCACATGCATATGAGGCGATTGAAAACACCATAGCTTGGGTCAGTTGCACCTTAGTCTTCAAGGTGACAACTTTGCTTTTTAACACTTTAAAGAGGTGTTTTGCAACAGATTTGCCCAATGCAATGCACTGTTTGATTTCTTATTTTATTGTTGTACTTTAAGTGAAAGTTTATAATTCAAGTTAGTCTCTCATAAAAAAATTTATACATACATTATTACATGACCCCAGTTGCTCTCCCTATACTGTGACAGCACACTCCTCCTTTCTACCCTGGATTTCACATTTCTATTCAACCAGCTCCTGACCTTCTCATCTCACCTCTGGACAGGAGCTGCCCATTTAGTCTCATGTATCTACTTGAGCTAAAAAGCATAATCTTTATCAGTATCATTTTATGTCCTATAGTCCAGTCTAATCTTTGAAAAATTGGCTTCGAGAATTGTTTTAGTTGGGGATTCATGCTTTCCACACATCTGAAAGCCTCAAGGCAAAAACATTCCCCACTGGGTGGAAAATCTGTCTGGAGATCTCACACAAGCTCTAGCTGGACTCACTGTCCACAGCTTCATACCTTTGGTGATGTCAGAAAAGCACCAACATCACTCAGGACCCCATAAACAATCAGGGCCTTCTCTATGAACTCTCTCCCCACTTTTCTAACCCATAGTGCTGTGTGAGAGAGAGACCTGTAGTTTTAGAACTGCACAGAAAATGCGCTAGTGCCTTGGGGAAATCAAGAAAACTGTTAAGAGAAATCGGATAAGTGTGGCTCTGGAGGGAGGGCTCAGCCTCCACAGCCAGAGCTGCACCATCTTCAGGTTTTGGTCAGGAGACTCTGCCATTCAACATGGAGCACCAAGGCCCTGAATGGGAATTTAACGCCCCATGGTGCCAGCTCTGAGAGTCACATAAGGAAGGTAACCCCGGGCACCCAAATCTTGAAAAGTCATATATGTGTAGAAGAATGGCCTAGTGACAGTGGAGCAGGACCTCAGGATGATTCCTAGGGCTCAGTCCCTTGTCCTCTTCTGCCATCTTTTTTCTTCATTGAGGAACCACAGTCCCGCAGCACACAGTTGGTCCCCCAATAATTTATATACAGTCTCACCTACAAACTGAAAGAATATCCCAGTTCTCTGTAGAACTCACCATTTCCTTCTCTAGCTTCCAGAAGTCTAAGGGAATATTGTCTCTGAGCCAAAGAAGCCAGTTCAGGAAGACAGATGGCGGTGGAAGCAGAGCACTGGGCAGTTTGGAAGCAGATGAATAATGTTTGGTCCACACACCAGTCAGAGCAGTTGAAATCTTGACCTGCGATTTACAGATAGGTCTCCAGCTGCCTGGACTGGACTAGTTCCCCCTGTACCACACCTGAGACCTGAAATAGAAGAAGAATGGGGAACAAACAGTGTCGAGGAGGGAGAGAGTGACAGGTTTCTGGCTTCCTCCCAGGCTCAGGGCAGTGGTCTACCCTGGAGGCATCTGCACTGAAGGCAGAACAGGCTCTAGCCTCCAGAGCACACACCTGCATTCTTCATGCAGCTCGATGGGCCTCTTCTTTCTGCAACAAGATCACAGAGGGAGGAATTTACTTATCCCAGAGCATGAGAAGCAACCAGGCTTGGCCAGGCTGTAAAACTTGAACCTGATTTCCTCCAGGGAGTTAGGGGCCCAATGATGAAGTTGTGTGTTTATCTATGTAAGTTTGTCCCTTATAGATCAACACATGCACTGTTATTAGATATTAACAAAGGTGAATTTTCAGGAAGAAAATATTTTTCAAGTTTCATTCATTTTTAATTATGTTTAGTTAAAACCCTTGTATTGTGGTTTTTAAAATTTTTCATTTCATTTTTAGCTTTATAATATGTGATTGGTATTTTTCCTGTTGCTTTTGCAATTAACATTTCTTTCTTCCCCCTAAAGTTTTCTTTTCTCCCCCCACCTTTGTTCTCCAACCATGATACCATCAGTTCCTAAGCTTTTGAGAAACCTGGGAGAGTCCTGAACATTTTGTCTTTCAACTTTATAATAAATCAATCAATAAATCAGAAAATCATTGTTTTCCCAAAGGAGCTATTTCTTGCCTCTGTTCCCATTTCTTTCCACTCTGCTTCCCTTCCAAGCTGACTCCTAGTCTTTCATTTCTTGGTCTCAGTGTAAATGTTCTCTCGTTCACATGATCTTTACACCTGTGTCTCCCCTTCAAGTATTATCCTTCCTTTTATTATTTTTTCTAAAATCAAACCTGTTGCCATCATGTTGATTCTGACTCATAGCGACCCTACAGGACAGAGTAGAACTCCCCATAGGGTTTCCAAGGAGCAGTTGGTGGATTCAAACTGCTGACCTTTAGATTAGAAACTGAGCACTTAACCACTGCACCATCAGGGTTCCATTTTTTCTAACAGCATTCTCTAAATTCAATTCACATCCTTATTTCTAGACTTATTATTTCAAGCATAAACTAGGAGCTTTTTCAGTATGTAGAATATCAAGCCCCACCCCAGAATGGCTGAATCAAAATCCACATTTTAACAAGACCCATGGGTTGTCCACACTAACATTCAACTATGAAAAGCATTCACTGATCTATAGCCTGTAACTAAAGAAATAACCATTCTATCAACGAATGCCTTTGACCCATCTACATCTACATTGTATCACTGCACTATTTTCCTAATCCATAACCAATCACTATGTTTAGGACTCCTCACAGTCTTCCTTAACTTGTTCATACCAAGCTCCAACCTGATGTCATTCAATCATGGTTGTCATTTCCAAAATCTCTTTACAGTACAGGAACAGCTTAATGCCTGCTGCTGGCTGTCCATTGGACTTCAAAAAGTCCAGAGTAGAGGTGAAGCCAAGATGGCAGACTAGTCAGATGCACTAAGCCATCCTGCTGCAACAAAGACCTGAAAACCAGCTAATACTGATACTGATGTCAATCCTGGAACCCTGAACCTTAAACGAAGGGATAAAGTATTAGCAAAACGGAAAGGGACCTCAATTTATAAATAACAACATCAGAATAATAAAAAATAATAAAAGGGGGAATACACAGTGTCACGGATTGAATTGTGTCCCCTAAAAATACGTGTATCAATTTGGCTAGGCCATGATTCCCAGTAGTGTGTGATTGTCCACTATTTTGCCATCTGAAGTGGTTTTCCTATATGTTGTAAATCCTACCTCTATGATGTTAATGAGGTGGGATAGGTGGCAGTTATGTTAATGAGGCAGGACTCAATCTACAAGATTGGATTGTGTCGTGAGCCGATGTCTTTTGAGATATCAAAGAAAGAGGTGAGCAGAGAGACAGGGAGACCTCATACCACCAAGAAAGCAGCGCCGGGAGCAGAGTGTGTTCTTTGGAGCTGGGGTTCCTGTGCAGAGAAGCTCCTAGTCCAAGAGAAGATTGACAAGGACCTTCTTCCAGAGCCAACAGACAGCCTTCCCTTGGAGCTGACACCCTGAATTTGGACTTCTAGCCTACTAGACTATGAGAGAATAAAACTTCTGTTTGTTAAAGCCATCCACTTGTGGTATTTCTGTTACAGCAACGCAAGACACACGGTGTAGGTATAGACCTTTCAAATGGAGAAGAAGTCAAGACAATATCAAATAATACAAGACTGATTCAAACTTAGGAAGATAAGGCTAAATTTTAAGGAAACCACAAAGCAAGTTAACAAACCTACTTATCAAAACGAAGAAAAACAAAAAGTCTCAGTAAACACAAAATCTACAATAATGAAAAAAACACAAATTTCACAAACAAAGGAACGCGGCACAGGAGCATAAGAGAAACAAAGAAAACGTTAGCACTACAAAATGACAGCAATAAACTCACACCTATCGATAACCACACAGAATGTGTGACAGAATGGATAAAAAAACAAGACCCATCAATATACTTTCTACGAGAGACACACCTTAGACACAAAGACATAAATATATTAAAAATCAAAGAATAGAAAAGTATATCAAGCAAACAGTAACCAAAAGACCAGGAGTGGCAATACTAATCTCAGATAAAATAAAATTTAAGACAAAATCCACCATAAAAGACAAGGAGGGACATTATATAATGATTAATGGATAATCTATCATGACGACATAACCACAATATCTATACACCCAAGGACAGGGCTTCAAAATACATAAAACAAACTCTAACAGCACTGAAAAGAGAAACAGACAGTTCCACAGTAATAGTAGACTTCAACACATTTCCTACTGGACTCTCTTACTTTGTAAAATAATTATTACAAAAGACAGGTACTTCGCTTTGAGTCAGAACTGACTCCATGACAACGGGTTTTGGTTTTGGTAGTGTGGCTGATCCTCTAGGATCTGCTGAAATATTTCGACTACTTTCATTACACACGCCTCTCATTTTGCCCTGATTCCTAATATTCACTGTTCTGACATTGGGAATATGCGATCTCTATAAATCCCTCATCACCTATATTAAGGTTGTTCAGCAACATCACTTTTTATACCAGACCAGCTACGACTTGCCTTATTGTTTCTCACATAATCAAAATGAAAGTTTCTGCCTTATAGCCAAAGAAATTCCTTGAAACATGCCTCTTACTAAATAATTTCCTCTGAAATTGGGATAAATATGGTCCTAAAAGGAGCCCTAGTGGTGCAGTGGTTAAGCATTCAGGGGCTTACCAAAAGGTCGGCAGACTGAATCCACCAACCACTCCCTGGAAACCTTATGGGGCAGTTCTACTCTGTCCTATAGGGTCACTATGAGTTGAGTTCCATCTCATGTTTCTGTATTCTTCATGTCTTAAATACCTACAACCATTAAAGGAGAAAGGATATATTCCTCACCACACTCTTCATTTTTGTATGACCACCAATACTCCACAAAAATCCTACCTGATGAAGCACAGAAAAGCAAAGAGGAGCCATGTTAGGCAGGGAAATTGTGATCAAGAATATTCCCCTTGAAGTAAGAACAGATCTGGATTTGAGTTCAGATACTGCCACTTATGGGATATTTGTCCATGGGCAAGCTACTCTAACCAAGATTATTACTTTAGTGAAATGCTGCAAATACTCCCTACCTCACAGTGTTGTTCTGAGAATAAAATGAGGTGCAGTATATAAAGTACTTAGCACAGTGCCCAGCCCTTCTGAAGTAGCTCAATAAATGGTAAATACACATACAGGTCGGGGATGATTGAGGCCTAATGAGCTCAATGTGACTGTGACAGCGAGCAGCAGAGCCAGCAGCTGCTCAGCCACTATCAAGCAAGACCTGTTCCTCCTCTCCATTATCGTGAAGACCCTGAGCACTGCCTGTAACAGCTTCTGCCTTAAGTCAGCCAAAACCACTCAAAATCAGTTTACTGCCTCAAAAGTATCCTAAAGTAACCTAAGTCATTAAGACCTAATTGAATATTAAAATCTCTGCCCAGGGCAGGACTTATCCACCTTTTTCTGTACATACTAAGGAAACAAGATGCAATTTGTTTTACTCTCCTCCTATGTGCCATGATAACCTATGTAGTCTTTGATGTTTGTATGTAATTCCTTACGAAGGATGGCATAAAAGGTTATGCCTCTCTTTGTTCAGGTGGCTTGATTTGAGGTATACACCTCCTTGCCCCTTGCCTGCATGCCTGCAATAAACTCTTCCTCCCTCCTCACCTCAGTGTGTCTTTATTGATGAAAAGCTGCACCGGGCAGGACCTGCTTTGGGTAGCAAATTCTGGCAATCACAGATGGGACCAGCATTGCCAGGCTCCTGAGACTGCCTCCAGCTGACAGGGGCTGTCCGCTTCTCCCAGTGCACATTGGTAACCTTTCTCTGGGAAAGACTCGTTTTGGCTCTTGAGGCTGGAGCTGACCTCGGACTCCTCAGTGGCGCGCTATGTGAGGGGAGAGAACGGCATCAGGCACCCCGGGAAGAGGAAAAAGTCTCCCTTGGTGAGTACAGAAATAAGTCCTATTTGTAGAAAGTAGACAGACTATAGATTCCAGTAATGCTTAGTCAGTGAAGGTCAGGTCAAATACTTTTATTTTAAATAGGCATCTGTAGTTTCAGATTTTGGTACCATGGGAAATAATTTGAGCATTCTGGAACATAGTCCATTAGAGTGTATTTTGAAGAATTGTTTTTATTTTGGGTATGACCCAATGAAAAAGTCTAAAATGAAATTTTTTTTGTAATACCACCTGTCCCCAGTACAAACTCGGGGATGGTGAACACTGGCTTGAAAATGGATCCTTAATTATATCATCATACTGAAGTCAGCTTTCTTTGTACTAGAGAAGAAAAGTAAGATGAGAAATATATATTTAAGCTTTAATGTCACTGTGGCAAAATAAGAGCTTACAGAAATAATGTAAATTCATGGTTCAAACAGAGGTTTAAAACCCATTTTATCTAGTCCTCTAAAAGAGGACCCAGTTTTAACCAGAGATCATAGACCTCCCCCTTATCCTGTAAACCCTTCGTCAGTCCCTGAGGCCTCCAGTGCTGAGATGCTTTCCTGGCGCACGCTCGCAGTGGCACCCAATTTGGTCCGGGGACACCAGGACCCTCAACAGGGCTATACCCATTGAGGCAACTCCCCGAGTCAGATGGAGGTGAGGATGGGACAGCAGAAGCCCCAGCCATGGTCTGGGTACACAGCCCATTCACGACTTCTGACTCATTCAATTGGAAAAACAATCTACCAACTTACCGAAAGGATCCTAAGTGAATGCATGATCCTTTAGCTTCTATTTTTAAAACCCACTACCCAAATTGAGCAGACTGTCCAGCCTTATGTGATATTTTACTCACTCCAGAAGAGAGAATGGTTTTTGAAAAAGCCAGTGAAGAAGGAGATAGGCTCCACCAGTAAAATGCTGATGGCCACCCCCCTCCCCAGTAGATCTGGCGATACTGGCCACTGAACCAGGTTGGGACTCAAACACGCAGGCCGGCTGAGCCAGATTAAGTCAGTACCATGACTGCTTGCTCACTGGGCTCAAAAATGGGGCACCCAAACAAAAGAATTTAAACAAAGTGAATTCAAACAAAAACGGGAGGAAGACCTGCCTTCCTTGAACAAATTTTCACGGTTTTCAGACAATTTACTGATCTAGATCCTGAGGCGCCTGAAAATGCTCATATGGTGAATACGATATTCATAGGGCAAAGTGCCCCCAACATAAAAAAAAAGAAATTACAGAAAGTAGAAGGCAGTATGGGAATGGGAATTTCACATTGGGAGAAACAGCCTTCAAGGTCTATTCTAACCAAGTGCAGGAGAGAAAGGAGAACCAGTGTGCCAAGTAGCAAGTGACTATGCTTGCAGCAGCCTTCCCACAAAAAGGAGGCTTCCACCCCTGGCCATTGGGGAAGTTTTCCCTGGGGTCTGGGATCCGGCCTGAGCTAGGGAAAAACCAATGCGCATGGTGTAAACAGGAAGGACACTGGAACAGAGAATGCCCTAAGAGACAGAGGGCTCTGAAGGAACCTGAAAAGGTTATGCTACCACAACGGGAAGGGTCGGGCTGAGGGAGACCAGGGGCCAATCTTATTCCAGTTTCCCCTGAGGATTCCTGAGAATGGCAGGGTTTGTAGAATATGGATTCCCAACTTTGGACTAAGAGCCAAATCTTTACATAAAGCAATGGAAGAGAAAGATTCAGATCCTTTTATTTTGACTGATGAACAATAACAAGCCTTCCAGACAATTAAAAAGAAACTTATATTGGCCCCAACCCTGGGGCTCCCCAATCTAGCGAAACCCTTTGAACTTTTCGTGCAAGAGTCAAGGAATAGCCGCAGGCGTCCTAACCCCAAAATTGGGGGACTGGCAACTAACTGCAGCCTGGAGACCACAATCAAGTGGAAAAGTTGAAAGAATGAGCCAGGCACTTAAGAGACACATATCAAAGGTGTGTCAAGGAAGCAAAATTAACATGGATACAGGCTGTCCCTATAGCCTTGCTTAGGTTTAGGGTGCCTCCCAGAAGCAAGCTCAAATTAAGCCCTTTTGAGCCAGTCCATGGAAAGCCCCCTGAAAAATCATGGGTTGGTTGATGAATGGTGACCAACTGAGTGTAAAACTTGACAGTGTTCTACAAGATTATTTGCGTTCGTTGTCTGCTGTCCTTTATTCTCTCCACAGATACGCCCTTGGCATACAAGAACACCCTCCTGAGGTGACGGTCCGCCCATTTCAACCTGGAGATTTGGTCCTGCTGCGCGCCTGGAAGGATGAGTCACTCCAGCTCAAGTGGAAAGGGCCCTTCGAGATGCTTCTCATCACCCATTCGGAGGTCAAACTAAAAGGAGTCAAGCCTTGGATTCACCACACCCAGCTAAAGACTGAGCCCGCTCTAGACCTCAATTCACCAATGACATTCTCAAAGGATAACTGGAACTGTGAGCCTTTACAGGACTTAAAATTTCTGTTCAAAAAGCTATGAAGTCCTTTTCGTTTTTATCCTTGTTCCTAGCCCTAGAAAAAGCCTGGCATAGTAACACCTTTTTCAAATTAGCCCAATCAGTAGCAAGTACGACCAGCATGACTAAATGTTGGATTTGTCAATACGTCAGAAAGCTAGCTGGCTTCATGTTCCTAACCAAAATAGGTCAAATATCTTTGAATGACTCACCTCTTGGTTATCTAACTGTAATTGGTTAAAGCATTTGTTTACTATTTTTATTTTCTTTAACTGTAACAGGAGTTTTTATCTATCTCGGTGCAAGCTACAAAAACCAAGCATAGACGCTTATGTTTCCATACAATCTCCTACAACCAGAAGTCGTTGCCCAATTTAGAAGGTGCTCTACACAAGCACTTATAGCCGTAACCTCAAACAGGAGGGCTGGACAGCGAGCAGCGCAACGACCCGCCGCTCAGCCACTACCAAGCAAGACCTGTTCCTTCTGTCCATTACCAAGCCCCTGAGCACTGCCTGTAACTCAGCTTTTACCTCACAACAGCCAAAACCAGTCAAAATCAGTTTACTGGCCTCAAAAGTGTCCTAAAGTAACCTAAGCCTCATTAAGACCTAATTGAGTATTAAAATCTCCACCCAGGGCCGGACTTCTCCGCCATTTTCTGTACATACTAAGGGAAAAAATGCAATCTTACTGCGCCCATGCGTCATGACAACCTACGCAGTCCATGCTGTTGGTATGGACTTCCTCGTGAAGGGCGGTATAAACAGTTCTTGTTCCTTGCAATAAACGCTCTTCCTCTCCCCGTTCTCCCTCCTCACTTCCCTGTGTCCTTACTGACTCCAAGCAGCACAGGGCAGGACCCGCTTCCGGTAACAACTGCAGTGTCTGTGCGTGCGTGCGTTAGGGGGTGCCGGCATAAAAGGCCGAGGAGTCTGGCTGAGGCTGCCTTGTAAAAACAAGAAAAGAGAACACAGCGGAGCGCGGGGGGCGGCGGACTGGAGGTGCGAGCGGGATCTACACTCAGGCGAACGACCCCGGGCGTCCCCGAGACCCGTGACCCCCATTTCTCCCACGCTCCAAGGTGGCGCTGGCGCCGCTGCTCTGAGAAGCACACGTGTGCGCGGCGAGGACCCCCACGGCCTCACCTGTGAGCGCCCCGAGAGACACAGGTCCCCACCTCCTCGGCCTCGGGAAAGCAGCTGCGGCCGCGGGGCCGGGGTCGCGCAGGAAGCGGCGGCGGCGACAAAGCGGCAGCGGCCGCGCAGAACGCACACTTCTACTTCCGGTTTCTGGGACGCTGGGTGCCGCAGGGAAGGGGCTCCGTGCGCGAACCTAGAGGGCTCTAACTCGTGCCGCGGGGCTCAGGGGCTCCGCCTTGTAGTCGGCGTCTGACCGCGACCGTCCTTATTTCCGCTGTAGAGAAAAGCCTAGATTTTCTTAAATACGTATTTGAACTGAAATGCGGATTTCAGTAATCAAAAATACCCTTGGGGAGCAGAGAAAGTTGGTATTTGCATATTTGGCCAGCTGGAAAACATTTACCATGCTTTTTAGGGGGCTGCCTGGTGGCTGGCGCAGTGGTTAAGAGCTCCGCTGCTAACTGAAAGGTCCCCAGTTCGAATCCACCAGCCGCTCCTTGGAAACCCTGTGGGGCAGTTCAACTCTGTCCTATAGGGTCGCTGTGAGTCAAAGGCAACGGGTTTGGTTTGAGTGGTTTGGTGGTTCTTTAGAGAAATAATATCTTTGCTCCTGTTGTAGAGGAAAAATCCAGTCAGCGTTTGAAAGAAGCTAAAGAGGATTTATTCAATAAAATAAAAATATACATCGGAGACAGCAGCTCACATTAATGTAAACTGGTAACTCCGGCGAGACAGCTTCGAACAGGAACAGAGATAGTCCAAGGAACAAAAAAAAATTATAGTACAATCATTTGGTTCGTCTTTGGTTGAGGTCACAAGAAGCGTGGATTAGTAGGTGGGGAATGGACTTCTGTTGGATAATTGGGTACTGGGGGAAGCTTACAGTCTTGGGTTTCAGGAATTAATTACAGAGGTCTTCAGTCTTTGTCACAAATGCTTACATTGCATATCCTTCAGGAGGGGTCATAAAAACATCACAGTTTGAAATAAAACAGTCCTAACTAGATGTCCCAGAAGTTAATGAGAACCACTTGGTACCAATGCCTTATTTCCTAGAAACAGCTGGTTAAAACAAAATCCATTTAATTGCCTGGGAAACTTTTAGATAAGGCTAACTCCACGGTCCTTTAAAAACAACTTTTATTACATCCCTGTCATAAAGAAACATCTCTTGGCCAACTTTAAACACAAGACACCTGTGTAAAGATCCTTTCCTTAGAGTATATTTCTTTTACATTCTGACTTTTCAGCAGAGATAGAAAGCTTCCTCAGTTACTAAAGATTAGGGGGAGAAATGGCAGGCATTTGTCAAGAAGTCTGAACTGTTTCTACTGAAAAATAGCTAGGAAATGAAAGTGTTCCAGGCAGGGATGTACGGGGTCAGCTTTAAAAAAATAAAAAATAAAGAAAGCATTTCAAAACTTCATAAGCTTCTCTTTTGGGCGTATTATATTTTTTCCTTTTTTTTCCCCCTAAGTTGATCACAGAGAAAAAGTAAACTGTATTTTTCCTTGATTCCCAGGGTAGCTAACTCAAGGAGCTCAATGACACACAGTTGTGAAAATTGTGAGCTAACTCTGTTGATGCAGCTGAGTAAATAATGGGCATAAGACAGGCCTCTGCAAAGAAAAGCAGATTCTACTGTTAAAAGCAATAGAGACCAAGGATTTTAGCTTTTAGACATTTTACTCTGGTCAAAAGGTTTACTGGAAGTTTCTCTGGAAATACTTGTTACCCTATCTTTAGAAAAGTTGAAGTCTCTAGTTTGGCTTCTGCTTCATTGTTGTCTCTCGTGTATCAAGTATCTTTCCCGAGGAGCAGGGTACAGACTGCTACCTAGTCTGATGTCTCCAGGTGCTGAGAACCCTGGAGAGAGGAGTTTTGCAGGGTGAGAGGTAGGAAGGTACCAGTGGTTCTGAGGGCTGGTAGGCAAAAGGTGAAGTACCTTTGAAAATGACAATTATAGATAGTTTTTACTTTTTTCTCATACTATATATACACACATATAATAAAGTGGTACATAATGTGTACTAATCTTAAGTGGACAATGCCATGAATTTTTACATCTGGATACACCCTCATATAACATCCTCTGAGATCAAGTTAGGCAAATTTTCAGGCACACAAGATTCCCTCCTGCCCTTTCCCCAGTTGATATTCACCCTGGGAGTAACCAGTGTTCTGACTTATTGCCAGAGATAAGATTTGCCCATTCTTTGACTTTATGTAATCAGAATAATACTGTATGGAGTATGCTGTGTCTGACTTCATCTAGTCAACATAATGTCTGTGAGATTTTATCTATGTCATTGTGCAGAGCAGTAATTTATTTTTTTGTCACTGTGTTTTACAAAAGGGTGAATATACCCCAATTTTTCTTATTCATTTATTCATTCATTTTATTCTGTTGTTAAAGTTTGTGTTATAACCCAGAATATGGTTTACCTTCCTGAATATTTAATGAGCACTTAGAAATAATGTGTCTTATGCTGTTGCTGGGTGCAGTGTTCAATAAATGTCAATGAGGTCAATAAAGTTGATGGTGTTTATCTTAGTTATCTAGTGCTGCTATAACAGAAATACCACAAGTGGGTGGCTTTAACAAAAATTTATTTTCTCACAGTTTCTAGGAGGCTAGAAGTCCGAATTCAGAGGGCTTTCTCTTTCTGTTGGCTCTAAAGGAACGTCCTTGTCTTTTGAGCTCCTGGATGATTTTCATGTGACTTGGCATGTGTCGTCCCCCGTCTCTGCTTCTCTTGCTTGCTTAATCTCTTTTATATCTGAAAAGAGATTGACTCAAGACACAACCCACACTAATCCTACCTCATTAACAGAACAAACACAACCCATTCCCAAATGGGATGATAACCACAGGCATTGAGGTTAGGATTTACAACACATGTTTTTTTTGGGACACAGTTCAATCCATAACAGTGTTGTTCAGGTCTTCCGTATGCTTGCTGACTTTCACATCCTTGTGAAAGTGGGAGGAGGTTGATAAGAACATAGTCTAGAAAACTAAGAGAACTATGATGAAGTCAAAAT